TTGAGGGTCTTTCATTGAACCAACATTTTAAATTTTAATGAGGTCCATTTTTCCTTTTATATATCATGCTTTAGATATCACGTCTACAAACTCTTCACCCAACCTTAAATCCCCAATTTTTTCTCGTGTTTTTTTGCTAAAATTTTATAGTTTTCATTTTACATATAAGTTTTTGATTAATTTTGAGTTAATTTTTGTGTGAAGTGTGATACTTAGGTTGAAGTTCTTTTTTTTTTTTTTATTCTTATAGATGTCCAATTGCTCCTCTACCATTTGTTATTTGTTAAAGAGGCTTTCCTTTATCAAATTGCTTTTGCATGTTTGTCAAAAATAAGTTGGTTATATTTGTGTAGGTCTTCAAGTTTTAATGTTTATATTAAGTCAAAGGCTATCCTTCCTTTATCAGATTGCTTTTGCACCTTTGTCAAAAATAAGTTGGTTATATTTGTGTAGGTCTTCAAGTTTTAATGTTTATATTAAGTCAAAATATAAAACCTTTTGATTTCTCGTGGTCCATGAATAGATTGTAGATATCAATTAGTTAAGTCCTTTACTCCAAGGAGAACATCAGCCATGGTACAAACTCTCTTTTAAAAAAGCCAATGGGGGGCCGGCCCGGTGGCGCACTGCTACAGTGCGCCGCTTGGGAAGTGCGGCAGCGCTCCCGCCGAGGGTTCGGATCCCACATACAGACCGGCCACTCACTGGCTGAGCGAGGTGCGGGGGCAACACCGAGGGTTGCGATCGCGTTGCCAGTCCTGGTCCGGTACGGGCGCGACACTGAGGGTTGCGATCCGTTGCCAGTCACGAAAAAAGACAAAAAAGGAAAAAAAAAAAAAAAAGCCAATGGGGAAAGTTCCTTTTCCATGAGAGTCTTCTTAGCACACAGAGCTAGATAAAGATGTTAACTTAATTTGTTCATCCCAGAGACACTTGGGTTGGGTGTTTGATTTTCTGACAATCCCGAGCTGCATTCAGGGTAAACCGTCCTTCACCTAATTGTAGCTTATTCTCCATGACCACTGCCCCTGACCACCTCCACACACACATTTCCCCTGCATCCTATGGCACAGTTGCGCTCACCCAGCCCACCACATCTCAGCCAAATGACTTGGCAGATATCCTGCCTCTTATGGTCTCTAGATTTCTTTGTTCTTTTGCCATTATAGCTCTTGCCCGTATGGTTGATTGGAAAGGAGTAGTATCCAAGTGGGAAGTCAGAGGGAGCCTGCAGCTGGGGCACTGAGGCAGGATGGAGTTATCGACACATTTTGTCAGCACTATTCTAACAAAAGGGACAAGGTGGTATGAATATTCTCGCCAGTCAACCAGAGAACTACCTTGTTCAGAATGCATCTCCACCTCGTCTTCCAAAGTAATTTTAAAGAAACTGCCTGAGCTGTTTGATCTTTCTTTCCCTTCTTTCCCTCCCTGCCTATATTAGTCCATTTCTGTTGCTTAAAACAGAATACCTGAAACTGGATAATTTATGAAGAAATAAAATTTATTTCTTATCTCACAGTTTTGTAGGCTGGGAAGTCCAAAATCCTGGGGACACATCTGGTCAGGTCTTTGTTCTTGGTGGTGGCTCTCTACAGAAGTGCAGGGGGTCACATGGCGTGAATGGCTGAGCAAGAGAGAGAACCTTCTCACTCACTCTCCTTACAAAGCCTTCAGAACCACACTCATTACTCCATGGATGGATCAACCCATTCACAAGGACACAGTCCTAACAACCTACTCACCTCTTAAAGGCCCCACCTTTCAGTTATTGTAATAAGATTTTCCAACCTCTTAACACTGTTACAATGGAGATCGAGTTTCCAATACATGAACTTTTGAGGGACACATTTGACCCTCAGCACTGTCCATCCTTTGCTCCTTTCTGCTCTTCTCTGGAGGGTGATTTCTTCTGAATTCATTCCATGGGAGGACCTGGAGAAGATGGGAGATCAGGAGGAGGTATTCCCTCTATTCCCTCCCTGATTCTACACAGGTTAATTAGTACCTGTGTCCTTCTACAATTATAACTCCTGACAGGTGACACCTTGTCTGTGGCTTTAGTTCTCATGTTTTCTCTTATGACCCCTTGAGCTTGAGATTCCTGTTGCCTGGGGTGCTGCAACATTCCACGCTGGTTGTCTTAAACTGCCTTCACTTCTGTAAATCTCTTAATTAAAACATCATCAAAATGTCCAGCTTGGTAAGCTGCCAATCCTTTCCTGCTACGACTCTGTCTAACGGGCCTTCCAAAAGTGCTGAACTCACATTATCAAAAAATACCGAGAGGCTCCTGACTAAATTCTAAACACTGCAAGAGATAAGTGGGTACACAATTGAGTAGTACCACCTCAGTAGCAGTAGAAGGAAAAATTCTAGAAGGTAAAAAAAGAATTGGCAAGTTGGACTTTATTAAAGGACTTTATTAAAATTAAAAATGTGTGCTTTGAAACACCATTAAGGAATTGAAAAGATAAACCACGGCCTGGGAGAAAATCTTTGTAGAGCAAATATCTGATAGAGGGATGGTATGCAAGTAGGCAAGGAACTCTTAAGACTCAACCATAAGCAAACAAAGAACCCAATTAAAAAATAAACAAAAGATCTGAATAGGCACCTCACCAAAGAATAAATACAGTTGTGAAATAAGCATATGAAAAGATCCTCACATCATACTTATATGCCAGTAGGAAACTGCAAATTAAAGCAATGAGATACCACTACACATCTATTAGAATGGCTAAAACCCATTCCACTCCAAGTAACAGAATTCTCATGCATTGCTGATGCAAATGCAAAATGTCACAGCCACTTTGGAAGATAGTTTGACAGTTTCTAACAATGCTAGACATACTCTTAAATGTCCAGCAATCGTGCTCCTAGGTATTTACCCAAATAAGTTGAAATTTTATATCCACAAAAAGCCTGCATACAAATGATTACAGCAGGGTTATTGATAATTTCTAAAACGTGGAAGAAATCAAGATGCCTTTCAAAGGGTGAATGAATAAACAAACTGGGGAACATCCACACAATGCCATACTATTCAATGATAACAAAGAAATGAGCTATCAGGCCATGAAAAAGCATGGAAGAATCTTAAACAAATATAGCTGAGTGAAAGAAACCAGTCTGAAAAGGCTACATCTTGTATGATTCCAACTATCTGACAGTCTGAAAAAGGTACAGCTAGGAGACAATGTAAAGATCACTGGTTGCCAGCGGTTACGGCACATTGATACTGCCATGGGGGATACACGGCATATGCATTTGTCAACACCTATAGACTTGTACAACCCAAAGAGTAAAACCTATATCAAATGTGGACTTTAGTTAACAATATGTATCAGTACTGGTCCATCAACTTTAACAAACGTGGAGCTAATGCAAGACACTAATACTGAGAGGGAAAACCGTGAGGGGGAGGGAGACGAGGTGCATGGGAAATCTGTATCTTCTGGGCAATCTTTCTATAAACCTAAAATTGCTCTAAAAATTAAGTGTACTAAAAATAGTTTTCTACTTTTGAAGCTTATATTGAGAGAGACAGAACCATACAAAAGATGATAGTGTAATGTAATACAGATCATGTAATACAGACACATGTGAAGTACAGTACTTCGTACTTTATAGAGTAACAGAATTGGAAAAAGCTACAAAATGGGGAAAACCTGAAAGATTAGTGGCATTTCATCTTGTTGAATGAATTAATTTGTGTATAGAGATAATTTCATAAGTTAAGAACTAGTCTTAGATTTTTTAAAAAAATTATTTAGTGTTCAAATAAACTTACGAAGGAGGTGTTATTTCCTTTTTATAGGAATCCAAAATTTCTAGATTTCACTTGACTTGCCCAGTGGATGTGAATGAATGAATACAGGTTTGAACACAGGCCTTCTAACCCCAGTCCATTTCACCAAAGTTACAGGAAGAAAGTTATAGGAAGAAAGACCAAATATATGGGGAAGGAATGAGACTGAATATACTGACAGGATAGTATTTTAATAATAAGTACACAAAAAGTAAAAACCAAACAGACGCAGTGATTTTTTTGCTAAAAGATACAGTGAATTTTTTTGTATGAATCTAATAAATAAGACCATGAAAGTCAATTTTACATTGTCATTTTTTTTTTTTTTTTGTTTTTTTTTTTTTTTTTTTAGATGGCATATTAGGTAGCAGGGGAAGCCCAGCCTGGGATGAGGTTACTTACCTGGGAATTAAACAGTGCTTTGTCCTCTGACCACTGCAAGAGAGTGATGGGCGGAGTGACTGGGGGATGAGGATGGGAGCCAAGGTGGAAAGGGTGTGTGGAGCCTGGTTTAAAGGAAAAACACAAGAGGTAAATGTCAACTATTATATAACAGAAAGAAGAATAAAAGACTATAGTCTCAGGTTCCATGACAAGATATTCGAATTAAATGTGATACTAAGTAATAAGGTTTCCTCTGTGGGCCAGATGTTTCTCTTGGTAAACTGTAGTGTAGGTTAAACTTCCCCAAATATTTTGCATAAAATGGTTAAATCCTAGAAAAATACCCCATTCCCTACACTTGCCATTCTAACTTTTATTAATGTTTCTGTTCTGTGTTAAGACATTGGTTTTTCCGAAAAGTCTTCTCTGGTTTTCATAAGGGCAGGGACTGCATCTGTTTTATTCACTTCTGTGTTTCTAGTACCTAACCAAGTCCCTGGCAGATAATATGCACTTAAATTTTTAAATACATAAATGAACGAACAAACACATAAAGCAAATAGTCAGCATTCTGCATTTGCAGAAAAACTATTCTTTCTCCCTTTTTTGCCTGATACATGACTTTTTAAAGCCTATGGTGACTTTGTTAACACACAATGCACACACACACCCAGAATATTTGTTAGTTTTGGCATGAAAGAGTAGAAACTGTCTGCTGTCAGTGGTAAATTTCTCAGACAACACAGTAATCATATTTTCAACAATCTGCATAAATCTAGGAATAGTACATAAGAAAAAGTATTTAACACTGCAAAACCAGGCCTCCCCATGCATTAGTAAGTGGTCTTTCAAACCTTTCTATCTAGGCTCAGCCCACATATGCTCTTTATGCTTCATCTATGGCTAAACTATCTCACAAAATACTTGCTTCTTGCTTCTATATTAGTTTTATCTACCCTCATTTGTTTGTTTTTCTTATTATTAAATAATAAAGCAAATACCCATTATAATGACCCATCTCTGCTTTTTGTATCTTGTGTGATTCTACTGCGTCACCAGACTTTCTAGCTTAATTTCCTTGAGCACCACTCCCTGTTGACTCCCGGCTTCCTCTTGTCTTTTTGTTCCTTTATGCCTGATATGGAAGTAACAGGAACAGTTACTACATGTGTATCAATTAAGTTTGTGCTCTTCTGTAAGTAACAGGAAAGATGACTAATGATGGTTAAATAAATAGCATTTACACACACACACACACACACACACACACACACACACACACACACATACATACATACATACATACATACATATATCCAGGGAAACATTGCTGCTTGCATTTAGTTAGAGACTGAATGGTGTCAGGAAATCCTGTGATCTTCTAGCATTTCCCTCGTATTGGTTGTCTCATGGTCTCGAGGTGGCTGCTAGAGCTCCAGACATCATGTTTGCATTTAAGGCAAAAAGAGAGAAAGAGAAGAATAAAGACAGGTGCAGTCAATTATACTTTTTATCTTTTTCCTGCCGTGAAAACTTTTCCCCATCGATGCTAAAAGACTGCATTTTAGGACTCACTGGTCAGATTGAAAACAGATGTTAGGACTAGTATGAATTAGAGGTTTTCAACCAGGGACAACCTTGCCCCCAGAAGATGTATGACAATGTCAGGAGACATTTTCTGGCTGTTACAGTTAGGAGATGGGTGCTGCTGGCATTAAGTGCATACAGACAAGGGATTCTGGATTCTGGTAACATCCTACCACATACAGGGTGCACCCCCACCCCTTTACAACAAAGAATTATCCCGCCCCAGATCTCTCTTGTGTCAGGGTATGAAACCCTGGTCTAACTCGATCCCTGAATGCTGGGCACAGTGTACCCCAAACAAAATTTGGGTATTTTGAGAAAGAAATAGGCGGAGCTATCAATACTAAACTAATAGTTTTGACCACCATAAATTCAGATCTTTTCCCAAAATATTCAAAACATTGCTCAGGCACAGACTCTATTTTGGCAGAATATTAGAAAACATGATCCTGATTTTCAGTTGGTCTGTATTTTTTCAATTAGGAAAAGATAAAAGTTTTGGAAGACATTCTAATAACTATACAGCCCAACTACTTTATCTACTTTATTACAGAGGAAACAATTATTAATTTTGTATTTTACATAAGCACAGAATAAACACTGAGACTATATTTATATTAATTGGAGACATAAGGTTACCGGCTAACCTGAATCATTAGTTTTCTCAAGGATCAATATCTATTCTCCCGGTTGTGTGAGTTTTTCCCCTCTTTTATCATCAGGCTCTGAGACTATGCCTTTACATTGATAAATATAAAACTGAGGATTTTAAATACATTTTTAAAAATTATACACATATGGTAGTAACTCTTTTATTTGGACCCCTGGGAAAACTACATGTGTGTACTATTTTGAAAGGGTTTTAAATATTAGCTCTACTTATCTTAGAGCTGGGGAGAGGTTATTAACTCTATTTTATACATGAAAAAACTGAGGCTCAGAGAAATTAATTGGCTTGTTCAGAGATCCAAGGTTGGAAAGTAGTTGTACCTGAGACTTCTTGCTAAAAGTTAAGGCATATAATACTTTCATCCATTTTGTGTTCTGGATTATTTAATCAGAGAAAATCCAAGAACATATTAGAGTTACTGTGTTTTGGAGGGATCTGATCCTTGAGGGCTAAAACTGTTACAAAAATATCCCTGATTATTCTCCATGTTAGTTAGAGAATTTTATTTATTTATTTTTGTTTATTTACTCTTATCTCCATGACACACTCTCTTTTCTCTACCCCCAAAGGCTACCAACCATTGTCATGCATTTAATGTTCATCTCTAATGACATATTTTTGCCCACAGTCTTTAATTTTACATTTATTGTCGGAATTGAACACACAGTCAGTTGCCTTTATTTCAACAAGAATGTGGTTGAAACCAAAGTTGTGTTACTTTGGACTACATTAAGAATTTCGATTTCCATTGACTGAATTTGAGATGTGTACTTATTACCACTAGAATCTGCATTTCATTCTTTCCATTTTGCACTCCTCTCTAGAAAATAATATTTGTACAATTAAACAAAATATTTAACAAATGGCAAAAATGCAAGTACAAAACTGGTCACCTTATCAAAATGTAAATCTGACCATCAGCACCACCATCTCGCACATGTGCACACACATGCGTGCACACACATGCACATTGTTAAAGCTTCTTTAATCACTTCCCATTGCTTTTAGGTTAAAGACTAAGGTTTGTATGAAGGCAAATAAGACCTGGCATAGCTCGGCTCTCACTCAGCTCTCCATCCTGACGGGGTACTGTGCTGTCTGGCACTTTCTGTGTTGCACCCACTCTGGCCTTCCACAATCCCTGCTTCTCACATGCTCCCTCCTGCCTCAAAGCGCTTCCTCAGCCTAAACACCATCTTTTCTCACCTCATCCCTGTCAAGTTTATTAGTTCAAATACTCTGATGGGAGTGTTTAGCACTATATACCTCCGCACTACAGTCCATGCCAGAGTTGTAATTTTACATTTGATTTAAGTGACCTTTTATTTAATATTAGTTGCCTCCTCTAGAACACAAATTGCTTGGTGACAAGGACTATTTTTTTTGGTCTTTCCTTGTATTGCCACAGACTGGCACAATGTCTGGTGCTTAATAAAATAATGACAACAAAGGATAGTTTGTCCTATTATATGTTAACTCAAAGTGTTTATTTTTCATTAGTGAGGCATTTGGTGGGCATCAATAAATTGCACTCAAATGCCAAATACACAATACTGGAATACTGCTCTACTATATGCTCTCTCTTGTTCTCTTTTCTGGGTCATTCCAACCTCCTGGGAAATTGATACATTCTAGAGGCGCAATTACGGCCACCAGGGCAACAGTAAAGTTTCTTTACATCAGTGACTGGCATGCTTCTTGTAAGATCCCTTGAGATGGAGTAACTGTGCCATTTCAAAATAGCCTCAATGGACAGGGAGTGTTTTGTTTCCAGAGTTTAGGTTATTAGTAATCATAAGATAGGTTGAATGAACATCATTGCAAACACCTTTGAAGAAAGGGGCATGGGCAAGATCCAGGCTGATCTGAGACAGATTCACAGAGAGCAAAATATTATCAAAGAGACTGGGGAAGTGTCATGAACACAGCTTTCTTCTGGTCCCTGGTAACATTGCTCTTACATTCACTGGGACACTGGATTTAAAGAATCATTTATCTACCACTACTCCTATAACTCTCTTAAGACCACATGTGTGGCCTGTATTTGCTGTTTGGCATACATTCCTTTATTCTCCCACATTCACAAAGGAAGAAGCTTTCATGACGCTCTATAAGTCAAGGGTTATATTGTTATGTATGTATTAGTCATTACACATAAACAACTCTGGGGATGAATATTATCTAAGCAAAGCTATTTCATTCTCTATTTGTTGAATGTCATGTGTCTTTCTTGTTTTTTTAATCTAATGACATTTATTTGTACCCTTTGCAGTCTCTGAATTTATAAAATCATGGCTAATTCTACAAAAATATTCAAAAATTATCTTTTATAGGACATCCCATCCATATTTTGGGGAAATAATTTAGGTACTTATGAAGAGTTTTATACAGCTCTAGAAGTGATGGCTAAGTGATAGCCTAAACTAATCCTTTTACTTAGAAATAAAACTGAATAATAATATATTTATGTGCTGATATTAAGCAATAGGCCTCTATTAGGTTAAATGTTGGGGGTATTAATTGGGTCCTTGGTTGCAAGCAAGAGAAACTGACTTGCTAATTTATGAAAGAGAAATTTATACAAGATATGAAAATGTTTGAGTAAGGATTGAGAATGGGCGGAAGATCAGAAGCTCAGGTTTGCAACTAGGGTAGAAACTTGGGAGCTGTGAAGGGACAAGAAGCGGGGGGAGGATGGGACGCACAGCAACCTTCTAATTGCCCACACATCCTGAGCAGGAAACGCCACTCTGCTGTCATCAAGACCTCTGCAGGGAATTACGTCCAAACCTCTCTTTCTTACTGGGTGGTTCTGCCTAGGGAAATCTGCAGTTGCACTTAGACGGTGGTTCAAGCTGGAAAAATAGGGGATGGAGCAGCTGCGGGCTCACCAGGCATCTCTCTTATATAATAATGGCAGAGCTTCTCTGAGTAGACTAGATGGAGCTTCCTCACAGCATCGTAGTCTCAGGGAAGTGAGCTTCCTGAGACAGCAGTTCAGGGCTCCAACACAAGAGTTCCAGCTACCAAAGCTTCACCTCAGAAGTCACACAATATTATTTTCACAAGTCACATGCCTTCTCAGACTCAAGGGGACAGTAGTTAGACCCCACTTCTCAAAAGGGGAGTAGAAAGGTCCTAGACACTTTGGAAAGAACAGAGACATTGTCCTAGCCATTTTGGGAAAATGCAATTTATCATTCATAGGATAATAGTATTTCATCACTGCTGTAGATTGGATACCACCCCCCCACCTACTTAGTCCCCACTGTAACTGCTGAGGGTGGGAAATCCTATTATGGTAAATGAAAGGTGGGGTCATGAAGAGATAATTGGATTGTAGGACCATGCAGTAGTGAATGGATTAATAATGCTGGTCAGGGCCGTGGTTCTGAGGGCTTTAAAGGAAAATGCAAGAGAGGTTTTTCTTTCTCTGCTCTGCCATTTTCTGCCATGGGAGATCCCTGGGTAACTGTCACCACCACCGAGACCCTGACCAGGTGTGTTCCCTGGACTTCCCTGGAAGTCCTTCAGACTTCCTGGCCTCTGAAAATGTAAGCAGTAAATTTCATTTTCTTATAAATTACCCAGTTCCTGGTATTTTGTTATAAGCAGGAGAAACAGACTAATACAATCACATTCCATTTAGCATTGTTTGCAATATCCTCCATAGAGTGACTATAAAAATTCACAAATTGTTGGAACTTTAAAAAGAAAGTCATCGTTCTCTTATTCTGATTATTTTAATGCAAGAATCTTGGGAAATATTTGTGTGAGTTTACTGATAAGGTATGTTCAATTTACTGGCATAACTACTTCAGGTTCAGAAGATTGCGCTTAATAAATGAGGGTTGAAATTAATTATGACTTTTTTTGTGACAGTTATAAAATATTGCTATCCAGAAAGACAGAAAAGTAAGACATTTGTAAATATTTGCTAAGTGTTTGTTATAATGTGAAAGACTGGTTCAAAGGATACTGACTTTGGAGGCAGAGAGATATGAGCTCCAATCAAGCCCCCACCACTTATTAGTTAAGTGACAACAAAGACTGTAATTGCCTTTTCTAAGCTATAGCTTTTCATCAGCAAAATACTACTCCTACCACCACTTGCCATGTAGAGTTGCTGTAAAAATTAGATTATAAAAATTAGATATAATGGAATTCAACTGACTAACCTTAATAGGTCCATAGGCAATTGAA